AATGAAATGTAGCTAGCTGCTAGTGTAACTAAGCAGGCAATATGATCCCTTGTTATTCAGTAGGGAAACTGAAAAGAAGCTATTATCTGTGGATATGATGTTAGTAAAACTACTAATGCATTATGTTCAGTTTTTATGTCTCTATTTCAAAAGGCTGTTGAGAAGCTGGCTGGGTGTTGAAGAAGATACAAGTACTGGGAAGCTTGGCTTAAAGAAATTTCTGGTTTAACTTGTGGTATGTAGTTTATGCAAGATCAGTTAAGTGATGCCTTTATCAAGGTCAGGAAATACCCACAGGAGAAAGACCTCTCTGAGAGACTGCTGTTTAATCTAGCATAAAGAGATTGGAAGCTGAAGATAGATCTATTCAGATGAGAAGTAAACCACATCAGTTTAACAGTGAAAGCATTAAACCATTGGAGCAAATTCTTGGGAACGTGGTGGTTTTCTTAGACACTTCTCAGTCAAACTCAGATATCTATCTTAAAGATACACTGTCATTTAGCCAAAAGTTACAGGCTGGAGACATGATGTAGTAGATGACATCCTTTAAGCTGTGTTATAGGGGAGGTCAGATTAGATGATCATGATGAATCTGTGTAAAAGATTTCTCTCCTTGCCAGCCGCCCACGTGTTTTTTTTATCAACTTTGTCAAGTTGATTAAAAACCTTTGCATGTGAAACAATGAGTAGGATTTTCAATGTGGGAGCAGTTGGGCCAAAGACAGGTTTTCTAACAAATCTCTGAGTCAGTACATGTGAGTAGCATTTGAACTTTCTGTACTTTTAACCTTTTCCAGGCACTTTCACTAGTTTTTGATGCTTTCTCTCTTCCCCACTAATCTATAGTGTTTGGGTTTGGTTTTTTCCTGCAAAATCCACACTGAAACCAACTACTTTTGTGACCTCTTTCAGCTAATTAAAGGAGTATTTCATAAAGACTCGTGAATGTTCGAGATGCTCTCTCTTCTCTTGCCCCTTTCTCCACCCTTTTTTCAGTGCTATTGTTCCTCATATCTGAAAAACCTTCTAGATTCCAGATGGCTTTCAAATGTGCAATCAAAAATTTTAAGAGTTATGTTTATGCACAGCACTACATAAATGCTGAGTAATAATATATCTGCCAGTCAAGATGATTTAGCTCCATTCACAAGCCCAAACTCATTTAACAATGGCTTATACTTGCTTTGACTGGCTGTAATGAACAGCCTGTGAGTACCATTGTCTACCATAAAATAAAAGGATGTATTTTCTGAAACTCTTCAAGGTGGCATCTCTAATAGTTTTTTGACTTTCATATGTACTTTCAGAAATCTGCTTTTCTCTGTAAATTATATTTTGAGTGCTGTGCCTATAATTGCTTTGTTCCATCAACAGGGAATCTTACATCATTTTGATGAGTGGTGTCCTGAAAGGATGTGACACAGTCAGATTTTCTTGGGCGAAGCTAAAGGTGGGCTGTTCTGTGTAAGGTCAGCCACCATTGTATGAAAAATGTATGAAACTATAAAACAATGCTTAAAAGCCAGAGAGTGATTGTCATTTAAAATTCTCTAGGAGAAAACAGTTACTGTGAAAGCAGTTCAGAGCTTTTCTGTGATGCTGCCAAGCTCACCTAATCTGTCTTAGTTTCTCCACTTCATAATGAAATTGCCTTCTTATCTTTGTAAAGCGTAACCAGAGTGGATCTTTGTAAAATGAACCCATATAATTTACATCATTAATTTAAACAGTTTACCTAGTTTTCCCAATGCTGTTCTAAATTTATTCAACCTTGAAATGAGAAATGAGCCTGGATCTGTATTCCTGTAGTTGTGCAATTGTCACCTTAATTTCACTGGAGTAAATGGAGAATAGCATCATTTGTATTGCTGTTGCTGTACTGCTTAAAAATTGTCCTGAGTGAGATCAAAAGTCAGACTTATATATCTCGTTTTTAGATACTTTTCTCAAGTTCAGGTGCTTTGATTCAGGTCAGTGTAGGTTTTTGGCTTGAACCTCGACTTGGGTTTGAAACTGTGCCTATTCATTGCTAGTTATATATATGGGATGAGATGACTGTAGTTAGCCTGATGAAAAAAGCCCCAGCCCCTCCATCCAAATGGTGGGAGCAGGGATTATATTTTTGGTAATGTAATAGCTATATTATAGCTGGTAACACATTTGTGTTTTAGAAGAAGCTGGTGTGCTTGTCTTGAATTTGTATTTGTTAAAGCTCTTGACTGTCCTCTCCAGAAGGAAGAGGCAATGATGATAGAGAAGATGCTGCCAAAATTATGATCATATGAAAAATTCAAGCGTGAACATCGTAAGGGAGGACTTGTCTTTAAACTGATAGCAGGGGCAAAGGCTCGACATTGGCTGGTTTGTGGCTTGGTGTGCAGGATGAGAGACAAGTTAACAGATAGCTGGGGAAATACAGTAAATACCTCCCAAAGGGAAACCAAGCAAAGCAACTTCTTTGTATATTGTAGAAATGATGAAGAAGGAACCTACCTCCTTCTGTCTTGGTCTTCTGTGCTTCTGTCGCTTGTGACAGGAAAGCAGGGCCTGTCTAGGGCAGTCATTCTTACCGCATGCATAGCTGGCTTTTTTTGGGTCAATATATCCTCTTAAAAATAACCCCAAAATGCTTTGAGTGCAACTCAGTGTTTGGACAAAGAGGCAACAGTTTTTAAATGAACTTTTGTAGGTGTGTGTTATGTTTCCTAGGGAGAACAGACCCAAACCCAACATGTAAAAATGCTACTTTTTATGGAGGGGTTGAGGAAAGGAAGAGATGTTGGTTTTCAGGTTGCTGTTATTTTCTGACCATCTGATTTTCTCACTTCTGGCGCTTTCACAGAAATATGATCCATAATTATGACTATCATGGAAGAATTGTATGTGCCTACTGCTCTGGAATGTTTTTTCCTGAAAGATGGACACATGGGAGACAGCATTCAGTTTTTGCTTAGTAGATTGAATGGAGTCCTAACTGCTGGTGATCTTTTACAGAAAGCCGTGGAGGCACAATGGAGGCACATTTTCATATTCTGTCTGTATTGTGCTACGCTTTGTGCTACAGAGATACCTGCAGTAGCCAGCAGTTTAACAGTGTGATTTCCATAGAGTCACAAAATATGCACTATGTACGTACTTATCATTGCAATTTGCTTTAAAGAAAACAAAAACAAACAACCACAAGAAAAAACAAAGAAACAAAAAAAAACACCTAGCCCCCCCATCCAAATGGTGGGAACGGGGATTGTGTTTTTGGTGATATGTTGCATACTTCTGTGTTTAGATTGCTCAACAGTTATGGTTACAGAAAGGAAAATGTTTTTCTGATTTCAGCAATAAGATTGCTGGAATTACTGCAAAGTACTGAATAGCATTGTGGAGAAATTATTAAGGACTTTATCAATACGGATTTTCTTTTTTCTCTCATCACAAGGGTGTTTCAGACTGTTAAATAAATTTAAAGTGCAAAATTTGCAATGACTGAGGCTGTTATGAATTGCTATGCTATTAGCAACCAGGCAACAACCATAGTAACTACCGTTCTCTCGTGGTTTTTCTTGAATCTAAACAAGAGATTTTTCTTTGAAACTCATACATACACAAGCACCAGGATCAATATATTGTTTTTCTAATCTGTTTTTTTTTTCAAGGCAAATACTCTATAGGTCATGTCTGTATATCACAAGGATGCTTACTAAGCTTGAAGGCTTAAAATAGGCTTCCAGAATTCCCTCCAGATGGGCAGAAGCCAACCTGCCCTCCTGAAGCCTGGGTGACTCCTTAGGAAGTGTCTTGGCATTTCTTAACTTAACTATACTTCCAGGGAATGTGATTTATAGGATGTGTTGAGCCAGAACACTCAAGAGAAAGTAGCAATATTTATAGCAGTATATTCTTTATGGTAATTGAGCTCAATTAATCTGAAAAAAAAAAGGGATTGTGAAAAATCATGGATTTGAATCATTATTAGATGATGAAGCCTTTTCAATGTAGCTTGTACTATTTATACCATAATTAGGTTAAAAATATAATGTGTATATACATAAAAGATACTTATTTTTGTAAATGTAATGTTAGAAATAGGCATGTAACTGCGCGTGAAGTGCCTGTTCTTGAGACCTGAACATTGTAGGAGACTTATAATGGTTTCAGTGTTGCTACGCTACAGAGGGGTGTTTCACTGCTAGAGATGTTGCCTTTTGGTGTCATAGGAACACTATCGGAGTTGAAAACAAAATACCTCTGGCTAAAAATTTGCTGGTTAGGAATTCAGGCATATGCTAGTAAAATCTGTATGAAGCATTTATGATTTTACCTGTATAAATATGCTTGCTTGCATTTTCTCTCTCTGTTACTAGGGTTAAGCCTCATAAAACTTGTGTTGATATGTCTGAATATGGATCTCTTGCACAGTTCAAGTGAGCTGTCTTTAACCCTATCACAGCTTTGAAGGAAAAAAAACCCACTTCTTTGTTACCTGAGACTTCTGTAGCTTCTCTTCTTCCAGCAGATATGTATGTGAAATATCCCATATTTTGTTGTGCCAGCATCCTTGTCTGAAGAATGGCTCTGTAGTATGCATTGAAATCTCAACTAATAAAGCAATTCAAAAACTTCACTTCTTAAAAAAGAAAAGAGAAAAAGTCCAGTTATTTTAGAAAGTTCTAAAAGTGACTTTTATCAGTATACTTTCAAAGAAAATACTATATTTATGGTACAGTATATAGTGTTTACTAGACCAACCTTTATTTTACTGAACAACAGAGATGCTTATGTTAATATAAAAGGTATGGTCTGGGGACAGTTCAGAGATATATGCATATATAGTACAGTAAATATATAGTCTTTTTGATCTGTTATCAGCATATTATTAAACAGAGCTAGTTTCTGATTGCATAGCCAGTGATAATTATCTGAATATAAAGTATGATTTGAAAGCACGAGTTGAACTCACTACTGTATTTCTAATTACCTCACTCTGCTCTTTTTAATTTAAGGTTGCCTTTGCCTCCTGGAGCATTCTCAGGCCTCTGGGAAAATCAGGAAACATTCCAGAAGTTATATTTTCAAAAATTTCCAGTAAGAATTACAAAATGAATTATATACAATTTTCATTATCCTGCAGAACTTAATGATGGTAGAATTAAACTGTATAACATACGAAATTATCACATATTATTTTAATGGGAGATCTTCAATATATGCATTACAGAATTGAAAACATTACAAGGTAAAACTTTCTTCACACACACTAAGCTTTTGGGCATGGTTGTGCTTTTTTTTTTTTAAGATCTGAAACAGTTGAAGTAAACCTCAAGCTCCTGAACATAACATTTGGTTTGTTTCATTTGATCTAATAAAAGATATAAGCTTCTCAACCTTAGACTAGCATAGCTTCAAATATACTACTGCTGTTGACACGCAGGCATTCTGAGTCCAAAATATATATGCATTGCCCGCTGTGCATGCAAATACATTGGAGGCTCCTTACTGAATTATTTATGTTTCCTTGTCGGATGAATTACCCAAGGACTGGCTTCTTCCTTTCTTTATAGAAATAGATAGATTGGTCCTATGTGAATATCAAAAATGGAAGGTTTGGTTCAATAAAAGCAAATGAGTGAATTGATCAGGCGAATTATTTTCTGTGTGCACTTGCATCACAATGGTGATGATGTACATTTGGATCCAGCAAATGGGAATATCTTTAGGGGTAATTTGACAACTGTCATCATGTTGTAACAATTCCATTCTCCTTTTGTAGATTCAGGCAACATCCTTCTACAAGCTGTCAGCAGTCAAAGAAAGCAGAGAGGGGGGAAAAATCCAGGCTTATGTATTGTCTTCTGTCTTAACAAAGACTACAAAACCTTTTCTGCTAAGGGAGCTACACAGAATATCATGACATAAGCATCGTGAAAAATATTAGAGCATTAAATTTCTCAAGCACCAAAAATGTATTTCATTTGATACAATGAGTTTTGTTTGTTGATTTCATGGGAAATGGATGGATGTTCTTAGTACTATTTCTGAGTTTATTTTTGGTTGTGTTGTTTCTAGGGATATTATGACACTATGGATGCAGGTTATATGGATGAAGATGGCTACTTATATGTCCTGTCTCGAGCTGATGATGTGATCAATGTTGCTGGGCACAGAATTTCAGCAGGTGCGATTGAAGAGGTGAGCATTGCCTGACAGTAAAATAGAAGAATGAAAAATGAATAAAGAAAGCTGAGACTGAAAATCTCACAAAATCTCTCATTTTCTTTCTGCTTTTTTTTGATTGCATTTGCAGTGGTACTTTTAACAAAAAAAATTCATTGTTTCAGGTCCTTCCTATTAAGGTGCTTTCTAGGACCATAATAAATTTAGTCAACAATAAGCAGTTTGTACCATGAGATTAATAAAACAGGCATGTTTTATGGATGTTGAGATAAGGGGTATTATGGTACCACGGGAAGCATTCCTATAAGCTCTTGATAACATATTTATTTGGGAATCCATTAAGATAATGTAGGGTCAGTGTGCCAAGTAGTTTCACTAGCTTCTTAGGAGTAGAAACTTGTCTTATTCCTAAAATACAGTTTTTAGGTCTTGTAGGCTCACATTCAGTGCTTTTTCTTGATTTGAACAGTTTCCTTCACAATTTCTTGAGAGCTGTTTTGTCTCTTATTGTATGAGCGGTGCTAAATGAACAATGAACATTTCTCTAAAAAAACCCCTGCTGTTAAATTGAAAGTCATTAATATAATACCCATGCAACTCAAAAAGTTGCAAATAGAGCAGTTCATAATAGTATCTGAATTTCTTATCATTGTTCAGTCACCTCTCTGGAACCGCTGTGATTGATTGCCAGTTACAAATTTCCCTGATGACATATCAATTGCTTATTCAGGGAGTATAGGAAAAGGTGTGCTGGGCATGTACAAGGGAAAAATACACTTTTAGGAACTCTGAATTTAACTGTTCACTGAATCACAAACTAATCTGTTAGGCATTTTTTGCTCTATAATGTCTACTAGTCTAGTGACAACTTTTTTTTAAAGGCTAGAAAACTTGAAGGAGAACAGAAGAAATTCTGACTACACAGAAGTGAACAAATTCAGATAAACATGGCCAATCCCTCGAGGATCGGTCAGCCAGTCGCTGCCCTGACGTGGGCCGATGAAGCCATAAAGGTGTCTCTCATTCTGCTTGAACTTCGTTCCTTTTGAAGTCAGCTTTTTGTGTTGCTTTACCAAAGCGCAGCAGGGACTCTCATCCCCAGCCCTTGCTGCTCTACTGCTCAAGGGCTGAGCTGCGCATTGTTTCTTCGCTTCAGGCTGAATCTGAAGCTCGTTTAACAAATGATGAACTGAATCGCCTCCTCGGCTGTTTTACCTTTGTATCTGTCCTCCTGAGCTCAGTGTCTCTGTTTTTCTCCCTGCTAGTTAGGTCTTTCCCCTAGAAACAAAAAATGTTTCAGCACTTCAAAATTCTAGAAGTTTTTCTATTCACCTTTTGAACAAAGCTAAAAAAAACCAAGAGTGTTGTTAATGCATGCACAGCAAATTGCTAGTTAATGGGAAAGCATTAACAAGGCCACAATTAGCTCTTCAGTAAGATCAGTAAATACAGAATTAGAGATTCATTGAATCGCCATCTAATTAAGTGACAGTCACCTTGTTGAGCAAGTATATTACCTGCATTTACATTACAGATGCATTACAAGCTTAACAAGTTTTTCCTTAGTGCTTTGATGAAGAATTTCAGCTTCATTATGTTCCAAACAATTAGTCTCATTGGCACTCTGCAGTGCAGTAGGTGTTTGTGTTCACCTTGCCAATCAGTGAACGTTAGCCATTTTAGTAACCTCCGCCTGTGTTGATGCATCCATCTTCTTTGTCTGTACATCTGTGGTGGCCCTGCTTGCCTTGACTCTTTCTGAAAAAGCCTAAATCAAATCTTGTCTATCTGAGGCAACAGACTTGAAATCAAGGAATTTAGCATGAGAAATCCCTTTCCTGATGGTGGAGTTTCCATCTGCTGCATTACATGTCCATCCTTGTGCCCAGTGATCATTCCAGGAATGCCATTTCACTTTCTGGAGATTTTTTATTTTTTTTTTTACTTTTAAACAATTTTAAAATGTCTAGTGCGAATTTTGTTGTTCATGTTTTACAAAGTTTGATCATTTTTAAATTGGTATTTACACTTTCAGTCATTTGAAATTAGCTGTCCTAAAGTCAAAGGCATGTTGATAGGATTTTGGGTGGATTAGTGAAGAAAAATATTACAGTGACTGCAGTATTCGAGCTCAACATAAGACTTTTATGAACAAGTGACAGACTGAATGGCAGAAACAAGCTATTACGAAACAAGCTGGCAACACTTAAATCTCCACCGTAGGTGTCCTGTTGATGCCTGATAGGTAATTATGATATTGATGGTAGTGTCAGTTTACTGCAGACCTTCTTCCTATGCTTTTGTGGAAAGCACAGTTCCTCTGGTTGTAGACCTTACTTTTCCAGAATTCATTGCACTTTCTTTTTTTTTTTTTTTTTTTTTTTTTCCCCTGTGGCAATCAAGTTGCTGCGGTCAGGGTCAAGAAGTCAGAGGAGAAAAAAAGTGGGTATTTATGGCAGGAAATGGAATGCATTATTGAGGCTCTGGACTAGACGTGACAGAAGCTCATAGGTGTATGTGATGCATTGAAATACCTTGGAGATTTGGAGTTGCGTAAAATCCATTCCTGTATGATTTGTCAGTCCAGATATAGTGTCTTCTGGACAAAGCAGACTGCATCTGAATTCAAATGTGCTTGTGCATATTTAGCTTAAGTGTTTTTGCAGCAGGTTCTCTGCCCATCTAGTTCTGGGATGAGCCAACCAGAACAAACTTCCAGGCTGTTGCACTTGCTGTTGCAGATACGGCTGGTGCACATCCTGTTTCATTAGTGTGAAAAATCTACAGTTTGAAAAAGTGTGGGTAAGTGGTCATGCTTTTGCATTTTGATAGAGCATGCTTCTAATATTAAGCTAAGCATTTCCCACGTGCTTTTTTTGTAGCATGAGACATTTCTGGGATCATAGTTTGTGACGTGAGGGTAGCTTCTGTCAAACAAAGTATGCAAGAAACACTTTGTGCGGATTTTGCTAAAAACTACTTGATGTGTGGTGTAGTGACCATGGCAGAGGGAGCCAGTTTCTCCTTCCTGGTTTGACTACAAATATTAATGATGGTGAAATCTGCATTTATAGTGGGTTATGGGAGACCCTTTGAATTGTTCCTTCCACCGTCGGTTTCACAACCAGGTCACACAAGAGCCTCCCTTTTGTGAATTGGAACAGCAGTAATTCAGCTTTTCCTTCCTTCAGATTTTTTCCTGTCTTCTCTGTACCTTTTCTGTCTTATTCCTCATGCTTATGGTGTTGTGTGAGTAGCCAATGCAAATGTGATGTTCCTACTTGAAAAAAAAGCCTTTATTCTTAAAGCTACTTTTAGTTAGTCTTCCTTCCACTCATCACACTGCCTTTGATTTTGACAACACAGTATGTGACTATCTGTTATTGGCAAGCATATAGTCCTTGTATGCACAAATAATTTAATATACACAGTCACATTATGTCACCTCTGTGTGGCCGTTGTGTACAGTCACATTAGGTCCTCTTTGTGGCTGAGTACTGAGGACATGTTGAAAGCTCTGTTGCAGCAAGATTCCCCAAGGGACACTGACAACTACATGAAAAGAGCCAGTTGCTTTGGAAGAGGATTCACAACTACCGATATCTTAAGTCCAGCTTTTTCCCAAACTAAATGATACACTTCTCAATATGTATGAGACATTTTGGTGACTTCCCAGGAAGTGAGAACCTCAACTAGATAGTTGGAAAGAAAAAAGAATCTCTCACTTTTTTTCCTAAAAGAGAGTTTGAGATGATGCTAGTTCTACTGTTCATCACTTGTATAATTGTGTAAATGTGTACTAGGGAGGAGGGGGGTCTGATTTAGTTCCCTTTTTTGTCTGAGGAGGTTGAGACCTAATGTTTTCGAGAGAGTGAACTAAACTGGGCTGGCTGCAAGCTGAGGTTGGGCTTCTATTTGGCTTTGATTGAAACTATGCCTTTGTGCAGCAAAGAATGAAAAAGATAGGAGCCACAGAGAATAAACCAACATGACTGTAGACCTGTAGCAGAAGGGCTTGTATGGTTTTGGTCCTTACTCCACACACTTAACTCCATGTTATTCATAATGTTAGACTAATGTTATTTTTTCTGGCAAAGATCTCATTAACAAAACCAGAGATGTGATAGTCTCCCAAAGCTGTAGGGAAATCACTTTGCTTTGTTCTATATTTGTATATTGTGCTGCCATAGTTTTTATTTCTTATGTTTCTTCAAAAACTACAACTAAGTGTGTGAAAGGATACACAAGTGCATATGCAACATGTGTTATTGGAACACTGAGGTGTTCTGACTAAATAGTTTTTGCTGTCAAAATGTAAGAAATAAGTCTATTTTTTATATCCATGCATATGGAATATTTTCACTGAAATGTTAGGTTATTAATTCAGTTCTGTTTTGTTTTCTGTCCCTCAGTGTGTTCTCTTCCATCACGCTGTGGCAGACTGCGCTGTTGTGGGGCAGGAGGACCCTTTGAAAGGGCACGTTCCGTTTGCGCTGTGTGTACTGAGAGAAGGTGAGAGCTCGCGGCTATTGGTGTTACTGAGACTCGCAAAGGTCCCAGAAAGGATAAAGGATACTTCTTCATGAACTTCTTCACTAGGTATAAAGACAGAAGAGGAGAAGATTTTGGAAGAGATTGTTGAGCGGGTTAGAACTAACATTGGTCCAGTAGCAGCTTTCCAGAAGGGGGTGTTTGTGAAACAGCTACCAAAAACACGCTCTGGAAAGATACCACGTTCAGCTCTTTCTGCGCTTGTCAGTGGGAAGCCCTATAAGGTAAGCTGGAGGTGTATGTTTTAATGAATTAGGCACACATGCACATCCAAAGATGCATGGTTTCGAATCTCTAGAAACCTTGGTTTCGAATCTCTAGACCCTGCTGCAACTGGTCCATGACTTCAGGTAGTACGCTGTATTTTATGTCTACTGTAGCTTACCCAAAAGCATTTCATGTTCTAGAGCTTTCCAGATACGTTTTACTTGATTGCTTTTGAAGGCTAGATATAGAAGATTTTCTGAATAAAATTCCGTTGTACTGTTGAAGGACAGCAATCTACTATCACATGCCTCTGTATGTTCTTCCTTTTCAGATAACACCGACCATTGAAGATGCTAGTGTGTTTAAACACATTGAAGAAGTGCTAAAGAAAAAGTAAATGGGATAACGTGTTGGTAACAAACACGTCAGTTACTGAAATATACCAAGACACTTTCTGCTAGGAAATACCACATTTTAAACCTAGTAATAATTTGGGACTCAGTTTTTTTACTTTAGAAATGTTACCGTGTTCTTTACCATATTGTCAAAGCCAATGAAGCATACTCAACTCTCTGCACATTGTTATTATATGACGGATATTAAGGTTACTAAGACTTGCAAGTAGAATTCATACATTTCTATAGCCTTAAAGGGAAGGAGCCACTGGATTATCTATTTTATATGATGTCATGTAACCCTACATTTCAGTACATTATTGTATAATGTGACCACCAATCCGAGTTTGGAGGAAAAACTGTTTACAAAACGTTAAGTCATGAACTGAGGACAGCAATAAAAAGGAATTCTAATGTGAGCATTCTTGCAGGCATAATTGTCCTCACTTGTGAATTATAAGTCTTGGTCTTTTAAATTTTTATAAATTTTAAAATTTGTTTTCTTGATTCCACTAAGTTTTTTTCAAGATTTGCCCATAGCAATACTGAATAAAACCTGTGTATTTTAAATAAAGGCAGGTATTTACACTTTGCATTTTCTGATAATTCTGTTGTTGTGGTTTGTATCACTTATGATAAGAATAAACAGAATGTGCTTTTGCTGACATAATTAGGCCTTTTGGGCTCACTGAGATATACATAACCAAGAATTTTAGCAAATACAGATTCTGGGCAGCCCATTCTTGACTTTAAAGGCCATTTCAAAATACTTCCAGGATTCTCAGCAAGCCAGGGGATGGAGGATACACTTTCTACATGCATTACTTTTCAAGCTGCAGGTTTTTAATTGAATAATAAATGTAAAAATCCTTTTTTTAAAAATACGCATTCACAGAAAAGTTGAAAAGCAGAGAAATTGCTCAAACTCAGCAATGCTTTCCAGAGGAAGAAACGGTAAGCAATACACAAATTCAGGTGATGCTGGTATGAAAAAGAGATTCTATGCTTAGGTTAAGCTATGGTAGAAGTTAAGTCTAGACATATTTTGCTAAGGCCATGTGTCCTCAAAAGAGTCCAGAAATACCATTCTCTCCTGTTGCATAGAGGTAAGGATGATAGCCCTGTTAAGTGATAAAATAAACCAGCAGATTGATGTAGGAGCTAAAAGGTGATAGATGGATGATGCTAATTAACAAGAGCGTTACGTGATGTTGCCTTGTGCCTGTGACCTTTTTGCAGAGTCATTGAACTCTACCGGTTACTTAGAAAATAAATGAAATGTGAATGTGATTTTTCACTGGGGAGTGCATGCAGCTGAGCCAACCGTGTCGAGCCAGGTCATACAGTCATATGAAACAGCCTAGTGTGAGTTCTTCTGGGTGGATTATTCAAGTGCCAAGGCTTAAATAGGAGGCTAAATAATGGAATGACTTCCAGAGACTTCTGAGTATTTTTCAGTTTCCTAATGCTATAATTTAGCAACCTGTGCTGAGCAGCTACAGAGCAAGAGCGAGATCTCAGGAGTTGTCACTGGTGTTTTGGTTTTTTTTTTAAATCGGGGAGAAACTACAAGGGTCTTATCACCAAGAAACTGTGGCACATTCACAAGGCGCATTCACATTACTGTTTTCTACAATGAAAGCCAAGATGTAAAGTGTTGTATGTTTTCTCTCATTATCCCAGCTGCAGCCTTGATGTTGTAATTGCAGAAGCAGGGGAGGGGAACTAATTAGTGAGAGCACAAGTCCTCTAGTAAAGATATTACAATAGGATGTAGAAGAGAAATAATTTCCTAGATCTTCTTGTATGGTTTTCCCAATGACGTCGCATGTTCCTCCACCAGTTTCTGCATCTGTAAGGAAAGGCTCCCTGTCTACTTCTGGGTTCTTTTTTTAAGCAAGAGAGAATATCAGACTTTTTAAAAAATAAATCAACCCCAACATTATTAATGGATATTTAAGCACTTGGCTTTCTGATGGGCTATTTGCTCATATTAATAGTGACAGGAAACAATTGTCTGTCCTCTGAACTGTTTGTGAAGAGCTTGAATAGTAAGCATTCTTATAGTGTTTCCACGACAAAAATGTTTGTAATAACTTCTGCTTTCTGAGGAAGCCCGAGTTTTGGTTGGTTTGTTGTTGTTTTTTTTTTTTTATTATTTTTTTTATTTTATTTTTTTTTTCAGTTTTGGTAGGAATCATTTAAGATCCAGACTGGGATAAAAGAGGGGGGGAGGAGGTCAGAGTGGTCAGATGTACTCACCCTGCTGCTATGGAGGATTCCAGAAATGTCAAAAGTCTCATTCATCAGCATTCAGAAAACCTTGACAGAAAGCCACCTTATTGCAGCAGTACAGGATGGAAAAGCAGTTGTTTCATGAGCATTGCTTTTGTTTTCCAGAGGAGCCTTTTGCTGAGGAACTGGGATTGCAGAATGCTTTGTCTACAGCTTTAGCTTTGTGCAGAGCTGGAGAAAGGGAGGAGGAGTTGACATTCCTGTGCGTGGCTCTGGTGCTGCCCAGCAGCCTGGTTACACCACCTGGGAAGAACAAGCCCATATAACAAGCGGTAGGAGACCACTGATTTTCTTAATTCTGTTCTTAGAGAGAGGAAGCATGTGGGTAGATTTGAATGGTCAGGGAGTTAATGAAACTTGGCTGGAAGAGCTTGATGTAATAATTATTCCCAGTGTGCTGAAAGGGTTGGAACCCACTAGACCGCATTTAGCATAGCCAGCCAGTTTCTAGCTGATGACAGTAGAGCTTCAACTCATATAGAGGAGACAGGGATGTACTAGGAGACTTTATATTGGCTTTATATTAAAACAGAATTCACAATAATACTCCTTAAAAAAATATATTTTTAATTCTTCTGGTCTTTTCTTCCACTGCGGAAATAGATAATTTGGGGGTGCTATACTCCTAGGGCAGGATACCTTCAGTTTTGGTCGCAAGATCTTCCTTTTTCTTTTCCCCAACACCCCTCGTTCTCCTCTGCCCCCGAACTTGGGCTTGGGCTGTGTAAATGTGGGCTGCAAAAGAAACTTTAAAATGGGAGCTGGCATTTACAAGGGGAAGTGTATTCAAATGATACTGCAACCACTGAAAATGGTGATTGCATTGCTTTACTTCATGACCTTCTGGACTAAAATAGCCCCAAAGGAGGCTGAGGGAGGAGAAGAAAAAAACATCAGCAACGATGTCGGTTAAGCCCAAGGAACTGTATGTGAAAAAGTCATATCTTTTATACAGTTGTGTGGTAACTCAAGGCATCCTATCACACCCATCAGCAAGTGCAGTGCTCCCTCTTGTGGCAAATTATGACCAGTAACGCCATTGTAACACACCTGTTAGTACATAAACATGCTTATGCTTAACTGAGGGAAGTATCTGGCATCCAAGCTATTTTAATGCTACTATGTACCAAGCTTAATAGACTTGTAAACACAAATAGCACTGAATTCGTTTTTTTTTATTGACATTGGGGGAGAAAAATCTTTCACCATCTGATTGACTGAAGTTTGCCAAATGAAAATAGACAAAACAAATGTTTATGTACGTGCAAACATTGCAGATCAAACTGCTAAAAGAAATAACTAAAAGACAGGTCTTGAGCTAAGATCAAGCAGCAGAAAAATAGCAAATAGGTAAATGACTATAAATAGGTCTTACTTTGAAACTTCCCATTTAAACAAAGAATAAACAACAATAACACCACCAAATAAAGCCACAGCAGATAATAGTTGCTCTTCTAAACTTTTATACACTATATATTAATCACTCTGTCTTTCAGTTATTTCCTCTGATAAAACTGACTTCTGTGAAGTCTCAGCAAGGCCATCTTGGCTAAAAGCATAACGTTAGACAGGAGCCTGTCTAATGCCCTGTTATAATGAAGAAATGGTGGGGTTTGGCTTCTCTTTTCTTTCTTTTTCGTTGTCGAATATGTCTGGAAACAAGAATCTGATTATATGCAAATACTAGATTTAATTTTCCAATGGTGGCTGGTGTCTGAAGATCCTGGAACGAAAAGGTGTCTCTTGGCGTAAAGCAAGTTTCTTCTTGGTCCGCAGGTAACATAGAAGAAAGTTTTTTGGTTTTTTTGTATAAATCGTGTTTTATTAAATTGCTTTTTTTTTATTTATTTTTATTTTTTTTGTAAACAGTTCTTCTGGGTTTATTTGTTTAAGAGGTGAGCCATCATGGTTCTTCTCTATAGATATCTGGCATTTCCATTTTGTCTCTAGAGGTCCATTTTGGCTCCAGTTCCAGGTTATATCATTCTATTCTACATCATCAGAGGCAGGTGTTCAGCTTTAAATATTGACAGATTTTTTTTCTCAGTAGGAACATGTTGAAGCTTCTAACTCTGCTAAACATATTCATTTGACTGTTACAATCCAAAAAACTGTAAAAATGGTGGAATGGAAAGATACAAACAGTATTATTGACACTGTATTGTCAAGTGTTTGCACTGAGACCCCATGTACCATAGATTTTATTTTTAAAAAATCATATTTATATCCATTTACATAAGACTTACACATTTTAAAAGAAATACATACACAGTAAATACGTAAATGTCTAGTATTTTACAATAAAACAGATGGAACAATGTAAAAATGAGTGGCTTCATTTGATAAAAGCTTTGGATGTGCACTACTGCCAAATTTCTGATGACAGAGATGCTGAGAGGAAAGGGGGAGGTTGTTTTGTTTTTCTTTTTTTTTTTTTTTCATAGTACTTTAGGTATTTTTTAATTCTTGTTTTAAACTAACCAATACATGAAAGAAACTTCGTATCTGTTTGTCTGATAAACCTTATGTGTTCTCTTCCCTATTACCCTGTTCTTGCAGAGAGTTTTAATGCTCTTTTTCCTAAGTAGTGGTAGTGCACTTCAGGTAAAGTAGAAGAAAGAGATGACATCTAAGGGAAAAAAATAAATAAATATTAATTAGCAAGATTCTTCGATTCTAATTTGGTCTAGGATGCTATGACACCAGAAAATATTATAGCACTAAGCACGCTATTGCATGTTTTACTAAAACATGGGTTTTGAGGGAGACATGCATTTGTTGTTTAATTTTATATCTGCAACATAAATCTATTAATAATGCATTTTAATCTTTTACTAATGCATACTGATTTTTGTCCTAGATCAAAACAGACTCCTGCTTGTGTTCATTTTACAGTAGTTTTCTTGCTGTTTTGATTCAGCACTGGGGTTAGGTTCCTGCATCTGGAGACCTTTGCCTGTTTGGCACAAGGCTGAACACACATTTTAAGTGTATAGACTTTGTGGATGTACGCTGTGATTCTCCTTGTTCCCTGCAGCTCAACAGCATTTACCTTTTTCACCCTGATGATTTCTTTCCTATAGACCATCTGTTTCCAGATTAGCATTCACATCTTTTTGGAACTCTTCTTCTCCAGCTCTTTGGAACCCTTCATTGATAAGGTATGTTATTAATTTTGCCAGATTCCCTTTGACATTTCATTAGAGTAAAAGTGAAACTAGTATGTTCTACTGCCCCAGCCTGTGGCAACGAAACTGTCCTGGCTGAGCCTTCTGACTTGGTGGTGACAAATATTTCAGAAGAGGAAAGTG